TTATACGTTCTTCTTGAACTTCTATTTTGGAGGGACATTTAATAATAAATGAGGCAAGCATAATTACATCTTGTTTTATTTTCTCTATAAAAGGGTCACATAATTATGCGTAGTATGTGTTAAGCTCAATAAAAAAAAATAAAAAATAACAAAACCCTTTGCATCACCATGCCACGCCCATACTTCCCTCTTTCCCAAACACATGCCTTACACAAAGAACATAAAGGTAATTCTACCCTGAAGAAGCTAAACAATAAGAAAATATTAAATCTGCCCCACGCCTAGGTCCATCCCAGTCATTCTTGCACTCTCTTTGTTATGAAGAAGTAGCAAGAGCTCGCTAAAGAATACATTGTCGAGCCAGCGACGTGATGATGAAGGGCACAGAAGGTCCCTGTTGGAAGCTTTGACGATTTCTAGCGACATGTAAAGTGAATTCTCAAAATAAACTTGATAGAGAAGGCATCAACAAGGCAGCGGTGTGCAGAGAAGAGTCTGTGAGCCTTGAAAATGTAAGTAAAATCAGCCCCAAGCCAGGATTTACTAAGTCTGGGATTTAAGGTATAATTAAGGAGAAACAACATTTAAGATTTTGTATGATTTGAAGTTTTTATTTCACTGTTCAGAAAAATTCTAGTTAAATACTGCTCAAATTCAGCTAACCAACCCTCATCCTCTCCCTTTCTCTCTACATCCCAAAGCATCCTTCCTTCTGTCATTATCTTCCTCTTACTTATTCTATCTCAATAAAGAAAAAGACAAAAAAGGATTAAAAAAAGAAAAGAAAAAAAGGAGAAACGGTAAAATAAAATCTCATATATTCCGTTCTCTCACCACAAGCCTTACTTTGTAGCCTTGACGGTGTCATCACAGTCAACGTGCAAGTATAATGCAAAGCAAGCCACACCCCGATGTTCAAATACCCGGATGTGCCGTTTTGAAGTGAGAAGTGGAAGACCCCATCAAAATAAAGCTTTTGTGTAGCTTTCTTCAAACTGAGGGGAAACCTTGTGTTACATATTTTCATGCAGCAACACAAAAACCTATACATACCTTTTTTGCCATTGTGGGATAAGAACTTCATCGTGGTGCCCTAAACACTATTCCTATACACTTTTCATGTCTTGGCGAGTAGGCCCAGGCTCCCTGTAGATGCTCCCCTACAGGGGAAGACATTGGGAGGCTGACGAAACTTCTAGCGGTGGGCTAAAAAGAACAAAAATAACTTTAAGGATCTAATAACAGGTCTAAGATAAAAATGAAAAATTGTAAAAAAATATTAAATAAACACTCAAAATGACCTTAAGGTCATGTTGAAAGAATATAAGAGAATTGGAATAAAACACAAAATCAAAACTTAAAAACTGGACATACAGGAGGCTTGTAATCAACTTGAAGCTAGACTGCAAGCACAAAAGTTTTTAAAGACACAAAGAACTATTTTGAATACTCAAGGCATTCAAGGACACACTGGCGAACTGAACCTAGAATGAAAATAACTAGGAACGGTTTCCTACTTATAAGCAGTGAATTTTTCAGTGTGAGGCACAGTTGAACAAAGGGGGGGTCAAATACATTGCTTTCAAGGCTTTGAGCATTCGGCAAATATCAAAATTCTTGACCGTCACAACTAAATCTGCAAATCGGAACACACAACTAGACATAATACAATCAACCATGAATTCAAAATGTAATGCCATAAGAGCACTTTAATGACAATGCATTCATATAAACAACCACAATAATATGTCCTCTATTTTTCAAATGACTATGCATTCACGTGAATGGCTTTTACATGAAGTTGTCCAACTTAACCACACGTCATAGATGCTCTCGGTAATATGCACATCAAACACTGAAAGTTTTACCTACGCACCTAAAACCACAATACGCTTCAGTGAAAATAAGAGAAGCAGTTAACTGTTGTGTTTTAAGGGATTCACTGATTTCTAAAAGGTTCACATGACATGTTAAATCATTGAAAGTAAATTTATCCACATATGCTCAACAAATGTGCTAAATCTAAGGACTTAAAGTTAGGAATGCCACAGAAACTAAGAATAAATTGAGTTCATATCCATCCAACTCCATAAATCATACAATCCATCTAAAATCGAGTAATTATTTTTTGAAGTTTTACAGACGACTATCTGTTATGTATGAATTCAAACTCTCATACTACATTTTATTATAAAGCAGGTTGCCCTACCAACAAGGTAGGGTCATAAGTCTCGCTTTATAAGCCTAATTCTCCACATAATGAGTGTTGGAAATGACAAGACTTATATTTAAAAAATATATTTTAATTGCTACACACTATCATAATCTCATCATTTTTTATCAAAAACCTGATATTAAACCATAAAATCCACTATAAATGCTTGATCGTCATTTATGGATTTCAAGGCATTTCATGAAGAAAAAATATTCTTTTAAAGATGAAAATTCTTGGCATTACCACACTCGCAAAATGCAATAATAAGATGAACTGTACACCTGATCATCTGCATACAAAAGAAAAGTAGATAAGGTCTATGACGCAGTGAACTTAAATCTTAATAGAATATAAAAAATCTAACAAATTTGTAAAGAAAAAAGATGTTCACAGGAGACTCAACAGACAAAGTTTGAAGTAATAATCAATCCACCTCACCTTAATAGTGTGTTAATAATGAAAATTTTAAAATAATCATAGCTCACAAAAAATTAATATCATATCAGATGTGCCTCAACGGCTACTCTAAAAAATCTCATTCCAATAAGAATATGGCAAAGTCATTTAATCATGTGATTTTGCCATAAAGTTGCACCACGAAAAAGAATGGATATGACCAAGTGTCTTTAACAGAGTAATTCGCTGTAAAATGTTACCATTAAATTAATTCATAATTAGTCTACAAATTCTCCAATGAAACAGATCTCATGAGTTGTGAATCATAGAATGCACATGATAAGCATAAAGCTCTACATTAGCTATACTTAACTTTAAATTATCCCCTTAGACAAACATTTATCCCAGGCCTACAAGCTCCTATTGAACAATGTAACTAATAGCTGCCAATAAGGATTCATTAATCAAGTTTAATTAATAATATCATTTGACCAACTAAACCAAGTTTCACAACAACTCTGCATTATAAAAATAATAGGATCTTGACTGGATTCATCAGCATTCCCCCCATTATCTATTATAAGCTAACGATAATGATTTATTTTAACATAAAGCCAAAATTACTACTACCATACATTAAACACTTGCTCTTAACCATAAACATTAAATGAAAGTTCTATCTCATTATCAAAAAGGTAATTAGCTATACAGACCTGTGTGTAAGAAATTTAGAACATATGATAAAGTACTCATAAAATAAGAACAAAATATATGAGTGGTGTCTTATTTAAAATATAACCCGTCTTAGAAAACCTTGACCCAAAATACAAACTCGTCAAAAGAAACATGCATAGATTTTTGGGCCCACAATACCTTTTGCATGTTATTATACAAATTTAAGGTTTCTGCATTTTAAAATGTCTTAAAACCATTTTTTTTTATTTTAACCTTTTAACTCTTTGTTAAGCCAAACAAAGCTAAATGAGTTAGTTAATACTATACCATGTCCTGTGCCTATTCTGGTTGACAACAATGTCCTGTGTTCAAGTTCTTCAACCAAATCCAAGTTAGTGAGCTTAATTTTTATAATGCTTCATTGTAACAACTCTTCATTTTAATATAAATCCAAGTCAATGGCAAGCATTTTAGCAACACCGTCAAATGACACCCATGAGGTGAGGTGAAATTTGTTCAAGTTCTATATTTTTATGGAAATTTCATCAATGGAAATTTCATATGTGAGCCAATAGTAGAACGCAGTATATGCTAGTGAGGCCTCCAACCAACGACAAAATAGATGAGCATGGCCAGCGTCCAATGCTTTAAGAAAATTTTGCTCTCTCGCCCATGTCAATAAATGTTGGTATAGGTGATGCATAAAGCACCCAAGCGAATACAATCTCCTCAAAAAAGCAAAAAAATGTAATTAGGTTGGCACCACAAACCTCAACTTTATGAAAACTTAAGAAAACCACTAAAATCTTATCAGCACCCCAGGAAAACAACTACTATAGACTGAGGGAATTCATACTAGATACCTTTAGATTATAATTTAAGAGAAAACTTTGTGTTGTCTGCTAGACAAATTTTTTTTTATCATTTTATTTCATTTTATCTCCTTTTTTCCTTTCCTTTTTGCTTTTAATTTTCTTGTCTCAAAAATTTCCCCTTCCTTTTTTATTTTATAAAAATATAGGAAATAGTGTGGAGCTCAAAACTCAACTTGTGTGAAGCTGAATTTTTGGGTGATTATTTTTTTTAAACCCTAGAACTAGATTTGCAGATTTCTTCAATCCATAATAAATAATCAATCAATAAGAACATGTATCATTCCTTAATAAAAGACATGCTTTAAGGAACATACTTTAACCATAATAACATCGCTGAGGCAATGAATCATCTATACTATAATATAAACATAATAATTATGTAGATAAAAAACCTAACCCTATCAAAGTCAATTCAAAGATGGCCAAAGTTCCAACTTCAGAGAAGTTGGTCAAAAGGCAAGGATTGATTTTTCATGATTTCTTCATCCTCAACTCTCCTCATATGCTATCTCTGGTCGAGATTCTATCACAGTAGCCTGAATCGGCTCACGATCAGAAATTAGATATTGATGCTATAACTAAAACCAAGATCCTAATAACTATGGGAATTAACAGTGTCACCCTGCACTCTGTCCTAAGATTGCAACATAATGGGCAATAGTTGACAAGAAAAATAACAGCTAAAAGCTTGTTTAACCTGTTCAACACAAGAAAACATTAGTGCAGATGTCATACATAAGAATGAAAGAAGCAAGGGATGATATATTTCACCTTTGTTGTTTAATTTTAGAAACATTAGCAATACATTTACATCAACCCAAATAGAGCTCAAGTCTTACCATCTTTGGGTTTTCATAGTGGATTGCTCTACAGACAGTACAGACAGCTCTCATCTTCTCATCTCCATCAGGGATCACTTGCTTAGTTAGGCCCCCACAAAACTGGCAAAATTTATCTTTCCGCTTATGTGCCTACAGAGATCATTAAGAACTAAAACATTAAAACCAAAGGCAACAAGAATTCGGCCAAAGTATTTTTACTCCAATTATACACTCTACTTACGTTCCTTAACGTAGATAAAATAATTTATCCAGCTACTCTTAAGTAAATATCTCAAAGTAAAACAACAAAATCCACGAACATATACATGTTTCCAGCAAAAACGCATCTAGAGATCTTCCCCATAAAACACTACGTAAGGATATTATAAAACCAGCCAAATGGCAAAAAAAGAAGAAAAAAAAAGAAAATCACATTCTCCTATTCTCGGAAAACGGAGTAGCTCTCAAGCTTCTAAAAGCCATTATCCACGTGTTATCAAAAAATCATCACCATTTGATCAAATCTAAATACATTTCTCTGTAACTCATATAATAAGAAATTCCAAAAAGAAACGCAAAATCGAAGAGATTGAAATTTACGGAATCCGCTGTTGGAGACGCTACCACCGGCGAGGCGGCTGC